AGAATAAAATAAAGGGGTGAGACAGGATTATACTAGGAGAAGGAGAAAGGGAGAGGTAGAACGGGATATATTATCTCACAAAAAAAAAAACAGAAAAGGAAAGGCTCTTACATTGGAGGGGAAACAGGGGACAGTGAGAGGGAATGAGTGAATCTTATTCTCATAGGATTTGACTTAAGGAGGGAATAACATACACACTCAATTGGGTGTGGAAATCTGTCTTACCCTACAGGAAAATAGGTGGGGGAAGGGGACAAGAGAGTAGGGGGATGACAGAGAGGAGAGCAGATTGGGAAAGGTGGTAATCAGAAGCAAGTACTTCTGAGGGACAGGGTCAAAAGGAATAGAATAAATGGGTGGGATAGGATTAAGTAGAGTTAGTTTTTCACAGCATGTCTACTATGGAAGTGTTGTGCATAACTGCACAAATATAACCTATATTTAGTTGCTTGCCTTATCAATGAAGGTGGGTGGGGAGGGAGGAAGGGAGAAAATTTGGAACCCAAAGTTTTAAAAACACATGTTTTAAAAAAAATGTTTTCACACGCAACTGGGAAATAAGAAATACAGGAAATGGGGTACAGAAATCCATCTTGCCCTATGGGAAAACTGAAGGGAAAGGGGATAAGAGAAGGGGGGGAAGAGATAGAAGGGAAGGCAGACTAGGGGAAGGGGTATTTAGAATGCATGCCATGGGGTGGGGGGGAGGGGCGAGATGGGGTGAAAATCTGGAACTCAAAATCTGGTGGAAGTAAATGTTGAAAACAAAAAAACAAATAAATAAATAAATAAATTCCCATTAAAAAAAAAAGCATCAAAAATGTTAAAATTCATGAAAGAAGTACAACCTAAATTGTATGTTAAACTGCCCATGTCAACCTTATGCCAGCAATTTAATGTATAAATTTATGGAGACGTTCAAAATTAAAATTTGGATAATGAAAGATTCCCTTATTAGGATTAGGAGGAAGACTGCTTAAGAAGTGGGTTAAAGTCTTGATAGAAGGAATTTTCAACAGGAAACACAGTTGTTTCCAAAGATGCTGAATCTTAAGGTTATACAAAAAGATATCACAGAGAAAAAAGGTGAACCTCAGAATGGGAACTAGGGATGACTGGATCATAGAATCCTATATCTACAGTTGGAAAAGGGACCTTAGAAGTCTAGTGGGTTCAACCACCTAGGTGACAGAGGTAGTGTCAGAGCTTAGTTTTGAACCCAAGTACTCTGACTCATCTAAATCCATCACTCCTTTGCTTATATCCCACTAAACAGATGAAAGTAAAAAAAGAAGGAAGGAAAGTGAGAAAACTGGGCAAGGCCTAATAAATGAGAAGCTGGGGAGAAGTTTTAGCTATCAGCAAGGGGGATTTGATTTCCATGCCTCTGGGTAGAATGCATTCATTAATGATCAAGTATGCATTGGCAGAAAAGGAAAGTACATATTGGCTCTATTGAGGGGAGGTAAAGTGAGATTTGGGCAAAGAAAACTATGACAGGGTAATATCTGATTGAAGGTAACATCCAGGTTATATAGATCCCTGCAAGAATGAATAGAACTAAGTTGACCTTAGAGCACCCATGGCCCTCGACCATCTCCTTCCATGAATTCCCACACAAAGTATTAAAGTTCTACCAAATTCTTAAATCCTAAAGCATGTTACCCTGTCCTTCTGAGGTCATAACCACCAGCAGGGAAAAGGGGTAGATTCAAGTTTAAAATAAAATAAAATCCAAAACACTACTTAAGATAAGTATACTGCTAAAATCAGCACATATGCAGTCTAATCAGATGAAAATTCTCAAGTAATAAATGCAGAACCAGGTTACTGCTTTGACGATATCTCTAAACAAAACCTTTAGGTTACTTCCCATGTCTTAACATTCAAAGATCTGGACTAGAGTTTATAGCGAAGTACCCTTTGGTAGAAATTTTTGTTTAGTTTAGTTGTTTCACTTGTCTGACCCTGTGACCCCATTTGGGGCTTTCTTGGCAAAGATACCTTAGTGGTTTGCCACGAATGCAGAAGTAAAGTAAGGAAGTTCGATCTTGCCCCTCATTCCCTCTCACAAAGTTCTAGAAATATTAGCAAATGCAGTAAGATAGGAGAACCCTTCCAGATCTCGAATTTTATTGTAAAATTCCACCACCAGGCATATAAATAGCCCAGTGGTCCATGACAAAAAGAAAGGCTCCACATGTTCAGATGTTGTTTTCACATGGTTGTATGTTGGACTGGGGGCTTTTTGAAAGCAGGGCCCGCCTTTTACCTTTCTTTGTAGCACTTCGCCCTGTGCCTGGCATGTTACTTAATAAATGTTTGCCAGGTACCTTAAGCAGGTACTTAATAAATGTTTGCTGTACGTTTGACTACAGTATCAGAAGTTGTAGAAAGGTTAGAAAGGATGCACATCAAGAAAAGGCCGCTTCATCAGATTTGGAGATTAAGAGATCCTTGGTAATTTTGGAGAGAACAGCTTCAACTGAATGATGAGGTTGGAATGCAGACTGCAGGGGACTCAGAAGAGTGTGACAGGAGAAAAAGGGGAGGCAACAACTGCAGGCAGTTTTCTCAGGTTTCGCCAAGTAAGGGAGGAGAAATATGGGATGGCAACTACTGATGTATGGTCAGATCAAGTGAGGGTTTTTTAAGGATTGTGGAGACATGGATGTGTCTGTAGGCAGTAGGGAATTAGCGAGTAGGGAGGGAGAGTGGGAATGATAAGTGGGGACAATCTTCTGGAACGAATTCGATGGAACAAGATCAGGAGTGCTTGCAGAGGGGGTTGCCTTAGCAGTAGGGCTACCTCTTCAGGTGAGACAGATTAAGGAAGAGCTAGGAGATGATCAGTAGGGACGAAGAGACAGCTGAATGACCTCAGTTTTTCAGTGAGGTATGACTCTGTGTCCTTTGTTGAGAGTGTTGGGGTAAGGGATGTAGTGGGAGGCTTGAGGAAGAATGAGAGTTTTGGAATGGCTTTTGTGAAAAGTGAGAGATGGGATCCTCTACTGCTGTTCAGTTGTTCAGCTGTGACCCTGTGGACATAGCACACCAGTATTGTTCATGGAGTTTTCTTGGCAGGGGTGGTTTACCATTTCCTTCTCCAGTGGATTTAGGCAAACAGGGGTTGAGTGACTTGCACAGAGTCACACAGCCAGTGTCTGAGGCCAAATTTGAACTCAGGTCTTCCCAACTACAGGTCTAGCTGTCTATCTGCTGAGTCACCTAGCTGCCTCCTATTAGGGAAGTGTAGCAAAGGATTGCTTTGCTACAATCAGGGCCCAGTAAAGATTATTATTAGCACCATAATGTTTGATAAAAGGAAGGGCACCAGCTCTTGGGATAAAGACTCATTATTTAACAAAATTTACTGGGAAAAATGGAAAGCAGACTGGCAGAAATTAGGTTTAGATCAATATCTCAAACAATATACCACAATAAGCTCCATGTGGACACAAGATCTAGAATTAAAAGGTATAAACAAATTAAGAAGCAGGGAAGGAGCTCTGTCTCATGACAATGGTTAAGGGAAGAGTATTTGACCAAAGAACAGAGAGGGTCCCAGATGATAAAAATTATTAATTTTGATTATATAAACATGAAGTTTGTTGAAGAAAAGAAATGCAATTGAATTAGAAGGAAAATTGTCATCTGGAGGAAATAGGACTTTGGGGCAAATTCTTCTGATAAAGAACTGACATGGGGGGCAGCTAGGTAGCACAGTGGATAGAGCACCGGCCCTGAAGTCAGGAGGACCTGAGTTCAAATCCAGCCTCAGACCAAACACTTGACACTTACTAGCTGTGTGACCCTGGGCAAGTCACTTAACCCCAAATGCCTCAAAAAAAAAAAACTGACATGAAGCAAAGATAAAAAAGAAAAATGACAATTTTTGAAAATACTACGGGAGGATGGGTCTACAGTAGTGCACTTTTGGTTGATCTGTGAATTGGTCCAACTATTGCAGAAAGTAATTTGGAAGTAATCCCCAAAGTCATGAACATGTGTATACCTTCTCTTTAACCCCACAATGTAACTGCTAGGTATATATCAGATTGCTTACTGTTAAGGGCTGGGGGTGAGGGAGTGACAGAAGAGGGAGAAAATTTGGAAGTCAAAATTAAAAAATAGTGAATATTAAAAATTGTCTTTACATGTAATTGGAAAAAATAAAATACTATAAAATACCAAAACAAAACAAGTATGTGTTATGGCTTGGTCCCTTCTTGACTGTGTTAGGTCATTCTTGCCTCTCTGCCCCATTCATAAGTAAATCCTAGGCGAAGGTAATTTAAATGAGCCCAAGAAGTTATCTGGAAACAGTGGGGCCAACCGTTTGTTTAGCACATTACAGGAAACATATCAGATGACCGTGATTTACTGTTTAAGGCAGCAAAATGCTCTTAAAGGAAGAGAAGGGCAAAGACAACTGCATTGGACAATTAGGAAACATAATACAAGATGAAATAAAATAAAATCTTTTGTGACTTATGCTTAAAAGTGAAGAACTGTTACCCAGAGTTGAACTCATTAAACTGGACTACAGCATTACTCTAAATACATTCCTACCTTGGCTTCTAAATAAGTAAGTCTCATTTATCCAACAGACTTCTAATGACTTCAGAATTCTGGAACAGTCAGAACCCCAGAAATAAACCAGAGTATGGAAAAGAAGAGAGATAAGCAGAGGGAGGGAGGCTGGTAATTATAAGCTATCTAGAAGAATGCAGCTAAAGGGAGAGCTCGACCCCACAAAACTCAGAGCTTCCAGAGGGCATGATAAGTTGGAAGGAACCTTAGAGATCTTTTAGTATAATAACTAATATTAATTACAATGACTCCCCCCTCCAAAGTCATCAAGAGAAAGTTAAATGATACGCAGCATAATCTATAATATTTATACATTCAAGAGTTATGTTGAAAAGTATCTGGAAACACCACTTATCAAGAGTGACTTCAATTATAAATAATGCCTGAGAAGTAAAACTTCAGTTAAAAACCACCACTAACTGAAAGAGTTCTGCCTTTGAAATCACCAGCCCTGAGTTCAATGCCTGGCACTGTCACTTACTGTGTGACCATAGACAAGTCACCTGACCTCTCTGGGTCTCAACTTCCTCATCTGTAAAGTGCAGGGCAGCAGACTAGATAAGCTCTAAGGTCCATTCCAGCTCTAAATTTAAAATCCTATGAACAAAAGCAGAAAAGGAAGGAAGGCTTGCTCTACCTTATGCCAGTTTTCACTTCTTCAATGGGAAAAATGACAGAGGTGAGTTCTAGAATATGAGAGCGCCGAAGTTCTGCCAGGTGTTCATAATGACTTCTTAAGTCATCGTGCTTCTTTTCCACTAGGTCTCCAAGCTTGCGGTTATGCTTCTGGATTTTTTCTTTCTTCTCCTGGTGCCGCTGCGCTCGACAAAACAGCTTCTGATTCTTTTCCTTGGTTTTCAGGAGGCCCTCGGAATCTGACAGAGCAATGACATAAGCAATTATTCTCCCAAAATTAAGTCGAGGATAAATTAAGCCTCCAAAAGGGTTTCAGACATTTCTTGGGGCATGTCACCCTACTCCTCATCTCTATCCTACTCAGGCCCTTAATAAGAATGCAGCAATTGGCAAGGGTCTATTTCCTCCATTCTAGTTTGCTCTCCAATGCCTTTTCCACTGCAGACCAGAGGCCCATGTGTAGGTAACTTAAACAAGATAATTTCAAGCAAATGGGTAATTTCTATGAGTTTACAGGGTTTTGCTGAAGTAGTAGTACTCAAAGTTAGGTACTGTATCTACCTACAAACATCATCAATCAAATAAGCTACATTATATACATACATATACATATATATATAGATTATATATATATATATATATATATATATGTACACACACAGAGACAGATAGATAGATAGACAGACAGACACACATAGATCTCTTATAAGTAAATGTCCACCACAGCTAGGATGGTTGCAGGAGCCTCTCCTTTTCCCTTTCTTCAACAAGTAGCAAGATCTACAGAAATGGTGTCAAACTTAAATAGTAAAACCAATCCCTGCAGGCTGCATATTGACTCAGAAAACCACAAATTAACATTATCTATGTTGCAATGTATGGAAGGGGGATTTGCTGCTCCTTAATATCACCTGCTCATTTCTATCTTCATTCTTTATCATCACACCAGGCAAGAGTTGCATGAATAACCTTCACTTTTACCTTCCTCACTACCCCCCCACTACCTTGTGGTCTCTGCACCCCTTTACCTCCTGCCAGGCAGATGTGGGGAGGATCACAGGATCTTAGATTCAGAGCTGTAAAAAATCATGTTCTCAAGTCCAACCTTCTTATTTTACAGAAAGTGACTTGCCCAGGGTCACAGAGCTAGTAAGTATCTGAAGCAAGATTGAAAACCCAGGACTTGCCGATTCCAAATCTTGCACTCTATAAACTATCACGCTGCCAAGTTCAACCCAAGTTCAAATTCAGGACACATTTCCCAATGGAAACATTGTTATACATGGTAATTAGGTTCTATAATACTATACTTCAGAAACATTATGGGTTGCAAAGGTTGTTATGACCTACTTTGGGAACTTGTGTTTTATTCAGTCATTTATTCATCCAACAGACATTTACTGACCACCATTTCCATAAGAAAATGTGTTCTCAGGTCTAGATGAGTGACTTAGGAAAGAACTATTGGAAAACTATTGGAATACGACCTGCTGTAAGTTAAGTACTGTGTACCTAACAGTCTAACATAAATACTTAAGGATTTAAATAGCTGGAAGCTGAACCTGAAAGAGCCATCAGTATCACTGTCATAAGCCTTGTTTTCAACAATTTACAGCAAGGATAAGAGATAACATATGGATAGCCTGAGTAGTATATTGGTGCCCTTGAGATACTTTCAGGAGACATTTTTAAAAAACCTGACAGAGGAAGGACACAGTAATGATCGGGTAGGGGAAGAGGCTTACTATCTAGATAATTATCAGAGCTCTCTCTCTCCTTTCTCTCAAAAGCAGAGCAGCTAAAAAATGAGTGACTTGCTGATATTTTTATTCAGGCAGATCTCAAGAATGAAATTCTGATGGAATGAACAATTCTGAAGAAGAAAGAGGGGAGCTGGTCAAAGGGATGGACACAAATACACGAGCAACACAGATTTTCAAAACACAAAACAGATGATAGAAAAAAGGGTGGTTACTAAGAAAGGACACAAAAATACGGCAGCTTTCTATAAACATAGTGTCAAGAGCACTAAGAAACAGAAGAATGAGCTGAGGCTTGCAAGGAAAGTGAAGGTCAGTCAAACAGGATTTTAAAATCTATATTTAGGGGGATGGGGGATGGGGAAGAAAAATAGCTCTTATAACAAATATGCACAATCAAGCAAAACAAATTACTGCACCAGCTGTGTCCAAAGACATGTCTTATTCTACACATGGGGTCCATCACCTTTCTGTCAATATAAAGATAGCATGCTTCATTACCAGACCTCTGGCACTGTATAAAGTTAGTCATGGCACTGATAAGAGTTTTCAAGTTTTTCAAAGTTGTTTTTCTTTATAATGTTGTAGTCTTTACATAAATAATTGCTCTCATTCTGCTCACTTCATTCTGCATCAGTTCATGCAGGTCTTCACAGGTTTCTCTGAAACCATTCATTTTTTCATTCTTAAGAGGTAATAATTTTCCATTCACATATCCTAATTTGTTTAGCCATTCCTCAACAGAAGGGTGCCCTTTTAGTTTCAAAGTTCTTTGCTATTACAAAGAAAGTTGCTATAAATAATTTGTATATATACATCTTGACTATGCCTATCTGTTATAAGGGCTTTGTTTTCCCCTCCAAAGGAGATTGGTAGAAGGGTGAGGGGGACAGAGAGAGAAGGATGGGAGGAAGTAAGGGGATCACTGAATTTTCTATTTTTAAAATGCAGAGGAGTGAACAGAAGGAAGGCCAGAGAAAAAGAAAGATTATAAAAAAGCTGCCGGTTGAATTTTTTATATAATAAGAAAATTAAGAGAAAAATATAAGACCAAAAACTATTTTTCAATAGATAAGTCATTATCTATTCATCTAGTCAAAGGATATGAAAAAGACAGTTCTGAAGAGAACTGCAAGCTATTAACAACTATATGAAAGGATGCTTCAAATTTTTAACAGTAAAAAAATGCAAATCAAAACAACCCTGAGCATTCTCCTCACACTCCTGGAATTGGCAAAGATGATAAAAGATGGGAACAGTCAAAATTGGAGGGACTTTGAGAAGGTAGGGACACAGGTGCATTGTTAGTGAAGCTATGAATCAGTACAATCATTTAAGAAAGCAATTGAGAATTATGCAAATAAAGTGACTAAACCGTTAATACCACTACTAGGCTTATATCCCAAAGAGGTCACTGATAAGAAGAAAGTTCCCATATGCACCAAACAAAAATAACACAAAGCTAATGTTGCACAGGAACAAGCATGGATGAAAAGAAGAGATAAGAAGGCATACCTATCTCACTGCCTTCCCAGAAGCAGGGTGGTGCAGTGGATAAAGTTCCATGCCAGGAAGTCCTTCAGTTCAAATCTGAATTTAGACATTTAACTGGCTATATCACTGGTCAAAGTCACTGAACCCATTTGCCTTATTTCCTCATCTATAAAATAGGGCTAAAAATAGCACCTCTCTCTCAGAGTTTTTCGTGAGGATCAAATGAGATTATAATTGTAAAGTGCTTGGCACAGTGCCTGGCACATAGTAAGTGCTCTATAAAGGTTTATTATTATTATCAAAGGCATTTTTTCAATATGTTGATCAGGTTTGGTGATTTATTTCTTATTTATGTTTTTTAAAAAAAAAACATGAGATGGGGAAAATTTTGATGTAAAAAGAAAGACATTAGTAAAAGTTTATTAAAAAAAGAAAAGGAAGCAGTACATAATGTAAATCTGTAGCTTCATGTGCAATACTTTTTCTGTTCTACTATGTATAAGAAAATGCTCATTTAATTTAGTGTTTATTAAGTTAAGAATTTACAAAATGGGGAAAAAAACATACTGGTAACAAGAGTTAAGTAAGGTCAAACAAGGAAAATACTGCCATCTGTTGTATTTTAATACCTGATGACAGAAAAGACGTAACTACTCAACTTTCATTATGCTTCTTTTTTTTTCTACCAAGGAGAATGACCTTCAGACACAACAAATATAGTTCAACAGGAAACAGAAAGCTAAGATAAATAAGGAAATGCTAAGATACTGAGCACCAACATATTCAAGTCACCAGACCCAGATGAACTACATCTCAGGACACGAGCAAACCAAAGACATGACTCATAGTCAGTGAGTCGTGAACTTTCATGGGGAACGGGAGACTTGCTACCAGACACAACAAAAGGAAAGGCGGTCCCAATATTAGGAAAGGGAAGCAGGGCAGATGATTCCAAGATTGGTATGAGCTTGACTTCAATTTCTGGCAAAATTTGGAAAAATATTCTCCCTGCTTTTGTGAGGAGGATAAGTTTCAAATATAACCTTAACACACATGATAAAAGCATCAGAGAGTTACAAGTGCTAACTGAGGTCCAAGGTAATAATTACCAACCAGGGAATTAAGGAAGACTTCATGGAAGAGGGCTTCATGAAGAAGGAATGTGAGTTGAGCTTTGGCAGGGGAAGAGAGGGAAGACATTCCAGGTGTACGAAACACCAAGTAAAACACATGCATCTGAGACAGAACAGGGAATACGGATGGGCCAAAGAATGGTCAGCTTTGCCTGGAGCATGTAAAAAGGAGCAGTCAGTTAAAAAATATTTATCAACTGCCCACTATGTGCTAAGCACGGCACTAAGCACTCGGGATACAAAGATAGGCAAAAGACAGTCCCCAGAGCTTATATTCTAATGGAAGTGACAATATATAAATATGTACAAAAATAGGAAGGCACTAGGACTTAGAGGGGCTGGGAAAGGCTTCTTGTAGAAGGTAGGATTTTAGCTGAGACTTAAAGAAAGCCAGGGAAGGTAGGACGCAGAGAGGAGGAGGGAGAGCATTCCAGGTGTGAGGGACAGTCAGAGAAAATGCCAAGGGTAGAGAAATGAGGCGGTGTTCATGGAACAGCAAGGAAGACAACCAGCTAGCTGTTAAGTTCCTTAACAGGATGATTTTTGTTTTTTGACTTGGTATTTTAAAAGTCTAACACAATGGGTTGCACAGGGGTGGGAGTTTAATTAAAGTCTGTTGAATGAATATGTATACAAAATGTAGCTTGGTATCCCTAATAAAGAAAAAAGGGAAAGAATGCTTCTCAATTCTCCAGGTTATTAGAGTGAAGTGTTTCTGGAGAATAGAAGTAGTGTTTCAAGGAAAACAAAAAACATCTGAAAAGGCAAAGGGTAATCCGGACTTGGATCACAAAGCTGGAATCTGGAAGAATAGGACAATGAGGAAGAAGGGAAAAGACCAAAGAACACTAG